AAATCTTTTATCTGTGCATCAACTCACCAAAGACCTCAACTGTCTTGTTATTTTTGATGCTAACACTTTTGTCATTCAGGACAAATGCACGAACAAAATTCTGCATAGAGGTGTTAATATCAATGGTCTTTACCAGTTCATTCCTTCATCTGAACAATGTTCTTCTCCTCAAGTTTTTCAATCTAGCACTTCAGCACCTGTGCTTCAGTCAACTACTTCAGCCCCTGTGTCTGATAGCACTCCAGCATCTGTGTTTCAGTCAAGCACTTCAGCACCTGTGTCTGATTTGCTTTGGCATCAAAGATTAGGCCATCCATCTTCTTTAAAGCTTCAGCATCTGGCTGATGTTTTACCAAATAAATTGTCTTTAAATAAGGCCTTGTCTTGCCTTGATTGTAATATGTCTAAATCTCATAGACTTCCTTTCACATTGTCTAATACTTCTGTCAATTGTCCTTTTGCCTTAGTTCATAGTGATGTATGGGGTCCCTTTACAGTAGATAATGCTCCATTTCGTTTCTATGTTTTGTTTGTGGATGATTACAGTAGATTTACTTGGGTGTATCCTTTGAACTACAAGAGTGAGGTGTATGATAAATTGCTTGTATTCAAAGCATATATTGATACTCAATTTCAGACTTCTCTTAAAATACTTCGGACTGGACTGATTGTGGCACTGAATTTGTCAATAAAAGAATTGATACTTTGCTGTCTTCTCATGGCATTATTCATCAACGTAGTTGTCCCTATACTCAAGCTCAAAATGGCATAGCTGAACGCAAACACAGACACATTATTGAAACTACCATCACTTTGCTTCATCACTCAGCTGTTCCAATTAAGTTTTGGTTTGATGCCATTGCCACAACCACATTTCTCATTAACAAAATGCCTTCTAGTATTTTACATCACAAGACACCTTTTGAAATGTTGTTTCATAGCATACCTGATTTTTCTCTTTTCAAAGTGTTTGGCTGTCAGTGTTTCCCTTGGTTAAAACCTTATGTTCCACACAAGCTAGCACCAAAATCCATGTCTTGTGTTTTCTTAGGATACCATCCTACTATTAAGGGATATAGATGTCTTGAGCCTCTTTCTGGAAAAATCTACATTTCTAGGCATGTCATTTTTAATGAATCATGTTTTCCTTTCTCTCAGCAACAGTCCTCAGTTTCCTCTTCTTCATCTTCAGATTTATCACCTCTTACATCCTTTTTCTGGCCTTCTTCACTCAGTTCTTCTTCTGCTATTCCTACTCAGTCTCCTTCTTCATCTGTTTCATCTCCTACTCCTTTTGAGCCCTCTTCCAGATCTGAGTCTACTCCTCATACTCCTCCTCTTCCTCAGCCTATACCTATTTCCTCCATTACTATTGATTTACCTCCTCCTTCTCTTCCTTTCTCCGTGTCTAACATACATCCCATGATTACTAGATCTAAACATAAACTTCCTCACTGTTTTTCTGCTAAAGTATCTCTTCTTGAAACTGAACCTACATCTGTTCATGATGCTCTTCACTCTCCTGTGTGGTTTCAAGCCATGCAGGAAGAATATCAAGCTCTTCAACAACAAGGCACTTGGGACCTTGTTCCTCTTCCTTCTCATAAATTTGCCATTGGGTGCAAATGGGTTTTTCGCATTAAAAGAGATTCCAATGGTACTATTGCTCGTTATAAAGCTAGATTGGTGGCCAAGGGATTTTTACAACAAGAGGGTATTGATTTCCATGAGACTTTTAGTCCCGTGGCTAAACAACCCACTATTCGAATCTTTTTAAGTGTTGCTCTTCAATCTCAATGGTCTATCAAACAGCTTGACATCTCCAATGCATTTCTTCATGGTACTCTTCAAGAAGAGGTCTATATGCTGCAGCCTCCAGGGTTTGAACAATCTTCTACTCATGTTTGCAAACTCAAGAAGGCCTTGTATGGTCTCAAACAAGCCCCTAGGGCTTGGTACTCCACTTTTTCAACTTTCTTGCTTTCTCAAGGATTCACCAACAGTCTGTTTGATGCCTCTCTTTTTATCAGAAAAACTTCTACAAGTCTCACTCTGCTCTTGGTGTATGTTGATGACATCTTATTAACTGGTGATGATTCTGCTTTCATTGATCTACTTCTTCAACACATGTACCAGTCATTTTCCATGAAAGACCTTGGTTCTTTGTCTTATTTTCTGGGCATTTCAGTTCAGTCTGATGAGCATGGTTCCTTTTTATCTCAAGCTAAATATGCTGCTGCATTATTGCACAAAGCTGGCATGGCCGACTGCAAACCATGTTCCTCTCCTATGGTTGTTAAAGCTGTGTGTTCTACAACTGATTCTCTGCCATTTGCTCAGCCCTCACTATATCGAAGTTTGGTTGGTGGCCTGCAATATTTGACTATTACCAGACTTGATCTCTCCTATGCTGTTAATCAAGCATGTCAGTTTATGTCTCTCCCTACTAATGCTCATTTTCAAGCTGTTAAGAGGCTCCTTAGATATGTTAAAGGGACTCTCCATTATGGTCTCTTTTTCACCCCAAGTTCCTTTGCTCTTTCTGCCTTCTCCGACTCTAACTGGGCCAGTGATAGTCTTGATCGAAAATCCACCTCTGGCTATTGTGTTTATCTCGGCTCAAACTTGACTTCATGGTCCGCTAAAAAGCAAGCAAATGTTTCTAGATCATCCACTGAAGCTGAGTATCGAGCCTTAGCTCATGCCACAGCTGAGCTCACTTGGATTCAACAATTACTTAAGGACTTCTGTGTCTCATCTTCTACTGTTCCTGTCATATGGTGTGATAGTTTATCTGCCATGGCCTTAGCATCCAACCCTGTTTTCCATTCACGGTCCAAACATATAGAAATCGATTGTCATTTTATTCGGGAAAAAGTGGTTGCCAATCAGATTGCACTTCAGTATATTCCTACCATGGATCAGGTCGCTGATATTTTCACAAAGCCTCTTTCGCCTTCCAGATTTCATTACCTTCGTGACAAGCTACTAGTGGTTTCTTCCCCTATCCGCTTGAGGGGGGCTGAAGAGGTATCATCCTCTGCTCATGGACATCAGTCCTCTGCTCACTGCACTCAGGTTTCATCACCATCTGCTCATGGCCAGCTGTCTTTGTCTGTTAGACCTACACCATCACAGATCTGTAACTCTAGTGGAATTAGTTGTGGTGGTTAGACTAGTTTGTTATGAGTTAGTTAATTTGTTTAGAGTTAGTTTCAGATTAGATATTTTGTATGATTTAGATACAGTATATAAACCAATGTACCCAACAGATTTGAACTAATGAAAATATAATAAGTTTCCCAGAATCTCATCAGAATTAAACCTTAAGAGAGTCTAGAACAATTATGCTAAACTTGTAGAGCATATTGTATTTTTTTCAAATTTTAAAAATATCAGTATAATTTACCTTTTTTTATTAATTAGTTTTTATATTTTGTTTGGTTGATAGACCATCCAGTCAAGACATCATGTTTTTTTTTTTTTTTTTTTTGGCGAATTATATTAATAGTCTCTATAGTTTGGAACTCTTGTCATTTTGGTCCCTGACTTTTCAATTGTAGCACATTTGGTCATGAATTTTGAATCTTGTTCCAAATAAGGACAATTAAAAATATTATTTCTTAATTTCAAGGACAAAGTCGTTAATTTGATAAAATATAAACTAATTTGATAAAAATAAATGTCAAAAATATTTTTAAATTAAAAAAAATTATTTGTACCCACAAAAGATAAAATTATGAAAAATTAATAAATTTTTTAAACATTTATTTATTATACCAAATTAATTTTTATTATGTGTTTGGATGATAATTATATAATGGGTGGTTGCTAAAATTTTAATGTGTAATCGATATATTTAATATACAAAACGTTTTTAGTTTTGGATTTTTTAATTTAATGGATTGATTTAATAATGATATCAAAGTTGTCGCCATATTTGACTTTTGAAAAATTAGAAACTAATTTAATGAAAATAAAAATAATCACTCATTACGTGATTATCATCCAAATACATAACAAAAATTAATTTGGTAAAATAAATAAATAAATAAATGTGTAAAAGATATATTAATTTTACATAATTTTATCTTTAGTGTATAGAAATAATTTTTAAAAATTCAAAAATATTCTTTTGACATTTATTTTTATTAAATTAGTTTATATTTTATCAAATTAACAATTTTGCTCGTGAAATTATGCAATGGTATCTTCAATTGTCCTTATTTGGAACAAAATTCAAAATTTAGGATCAAATATGTCACAATTGAAAAATTAAGAACCAAAATGACAAAAATCTCAAACTATAGGAACCGTTAGTTTAATTTATCCGTTTTTTTTAATATAAAAATGGGCTATGCAGCAAAGAGAATTCAGAAGAAAGAAGTAGGAATTAGAAGAGAAGGCATATAACAATAACAACAAATGGGGAGAGAAGAAGGAAAGAGCAAGATATTGATATTTGGGGGAAGTGGTTACCTTGGTAACTACATGTTGAGTGCTAGCCTTTCTATGGGCCATCCAACTTATGCTTACCTTCGCCCAATCAAACCTAATTCTGATCCTTCCAAGCTCCAACTCCATCATCATTTCCAATCCCTTGGAGTCACTCTTTTCCATGTATTATTACTCTCTCTCTCTCTCTCTCTCTCTCTCTCTCTCAGTTTTTCTCTTTTTGATGGCATAAATGAAATTTCAAAATTTAAATAAACTTATGTAATGACGATTATGGTTCAGGTGAGAGAGAAAAAAAAGAAAAAAAAAATACTATTGTCATTTTTCACGGTTAAAATTTTTTTATCCCGAATTTGTTTTCATGTCAAAATATTAAAATATGAGAATCTCAAAATATAATCAAATAATTGTAAGTGAGTTAAAATAAGTAGAGGCAAAGTGATGACAATTTTTTCACTTTTAATTTCTTTTCTTTATTCACAAAAACCTTCAATCCAAACCATGCATTACTGATGATAAATTTATTCGCATACTAACACAGTATATGTGAACAATACAGATTATCTCATTCATTCAAAATTATAAGTTTTATATCGAAAAAGTATATTGTTCCCACCTAAACATATGAGCTCCACAATTTTCAACTAATTAAAATATATGTTTTTCTTCACTCACATTTCATCAAGTGTGTGAATAAAATTGAACTACACGATTATATTGTAATAATAATAGTGCTATATACTATGAATGGTTGTTTAAATTTGCATGTGGAAGGGTGCAGGGGGAACTAGATGATCACGAGAAGCTGGTAGCAGTACTTCGACAGGTTGATGTAGTGATCTCTACACTTGCAGTGCCTCAACATCTTCTACAACTCAAAATTATAGATGCTATCAAAGAGGCTGGCAATATCAAGGTCATTGATTTTCTCTTGTTATGTGGATTTTTTTTTTTTTTTGACGAATGTGTTTTTTCATCTTATTTCTGCATGAGTTGTTAGATGCACCAGATCTTCTTCGAATCTTACCGCTTACCTGATTATTATAATTTTTGCATGTGTTTTGCTTGTTTACGGAGCAGGGTCCGCCATATGTGAGTGTTGGAATAAGGGCATTTTGGTAATTTTGTACTTGTGATATGTTTTTAAAATCAAATTCTCAATTTTTTATTTTTATTTTTAAGACAAATGTGATAATCAATCTAATTTTTGCATAAATGATCTACACACAAAGTTTTACAAAGTGAACTTGGATTCAATTCAATGAAATAGAATAATTTCCATCAAAATATTCATTTTCATATTAATTTGGTTGACTAAAAAATAAGAAAAAATATATTATAAATGAAGTTATCAGTTATCATTATGATAGAATGATCATTTTATTAAACAGTCTAAAAAATTACCATTTTATTTTATTTTTTCTCATTATGAATTTAATTTTTTTTAGTATTGTTTTTGTGCATATGATATAGCAGAGATTTGTCCCATCAGAATTTGGAAATGATGTTGATAGGGTAAGCGGGCTGCCACCCTTCCAAGCACTGCTTGATAACAAGAAGAAGATAAGAAGGGCAACAGAGGCAGCTGGGATACCACATACTTATGTTTCTGCAAACTCATTTGCTGCTTATTTTGTTGATTACTTACTCCATCCTCGTGAAAACCATGATCAAGTTACCATCTATGGCACTGGTGAAGCCAAGGGTAAGTGTTTCTATTACATATTTACATTAATATTGCAGTGAAAAAGTTTAAGAGTACAAAAATTAATACCCTACATTCATGTGAGATGATTGTATTCAGTTAATAAAAAAAATATATTACAACACTAGAAGATCCTTTTAATATTGGCTGGTCTTCTCTACCCTGCGACGGACCGACACTCCTATGCTTTGATGTCTGTACATAGGCTGCCGTGTGTCGGCTGATTTGTATTTAACATTATATATATTAATTTTTTTATATTTTTTTTTTTTCCCTGACGTGAAAGAGACCGGAAACAGAAAGAAAAAAAAAAGAAAAAAACCTAAGATGAATTTTGACTTGCTGCACGGCGTTTTATTGATTAAATGTGTATGATTTTTTTTTTTTTTTGAGTCAAATTAACTTGGGAATATAGAAAAAAAAAGTGTTGCTTCTGTCATTAATCTTCTCATTATTACAACTATGTGATTCATATTCTTTTTTATTATTGTTTTTAATTTGTAATATTTTTATTATATATATATATATATATATTTTCAATGTCATTTGATACAATTGTAATTTTTTAATTTTACATATTAAGAAAAGATCATGAATTAGGACGTATGATTTCTATTACTAGGTTTTTTTTTTTTTTTAAATCATATTTGGAAAAATTTAATTTTATTCAAATTAAGTATTATAAATTCAAAATTAAAATAAATTGAGAGTTGTATATAATTTATATGTTGAATTTGAATTCATGTCTTGGCACCCCGCAAATGAATTCCTGGTTCCGTCTCTATCTTTACTCATTAGGGTTGGACAAATAACTCGAAATCCCATAAACCAAACCAACTTGATTTTTTTGGGTAGGGTTAGTTCAATTTTTTGGATGACCTGAGCCTAATTCTAGCTCTTAGTAGAGGGGGGCGTGAATCGGTTGCAGACATGGAACCTCCAATCGGCCACCCGTCTGTGAGATTGGCGGATTGGAGAAACTAATCCGCATTCGTCCGCCAATCCAGAGGTTGCAGATTTAGAAAATTGGCGGATAGATGCGAATTCGTTTGGCGGTTTAAAATTTACAAAATTCCAATATAATTCAATTGTGCACTTCCTCAAAAACACAACCTGGGCATAATTAAATTGTGCACTGTCAAATATATTACAACAAACATTGTGCATCCAAACAATAGTCACAGAATACAGGTTGAGATTACCCAGAACACGGTCACAGAACACAGGTTGAGAAGGTCTATTTATTGAAAAAACAAAACATCCTATTTACTCAAATGACAGATATATTGTTGGCTTCAAAATCCAATAAAATTTTCAATGGTTCAAACTCAAAATCACATGACAGATATATGACGCATTTCATTGCATTTTGATAAGACAAAATCAACACTATAAATTTTAAAAAAAAAAAATAGAAGAGAAAAATGGAAGTTCATTCATTGATTCATTGATGCGAATCAATTCATTACAGAACCAAAAAAGTTCATTATATTTGTGATGTTTAGTCCCCTGTTTTCAACTCCATTACAGAAAACTAAATCAAAACTATTTAGTTCCCAATTTTCAACTCCATTACAGAACCAGAAAAGTTCTAACCAACACCTCACACATAAATATTTGAAATAAATAATTCTTATTCCCAGTCAAACTGTATATAAAATATAGAAACCCACCAAACCCCAGAAATCAAAAACCTGTATATATAATTAAATAGCAAGTGTATATAAAATTTACCTCAGATCCATATCCTGCAATCATCTCTCCTCAGGAAGCCCCAATGGATTCAATAATTCAGTTGTATTTCCTACGCCCAATAACTAAAGAATCGTGGAAATTTAGAGTCAGAGACTGGCACTACCAAAGACGACGACGATGATGACAATAACACCACCACCAACAACAACAACAACAAAAAAAGGTGAGCAAGAAATACAAAGAAACTCAAAGTGGGTGTTTTGGTAACACCATTGCAAGAAGCTTAGATCGTCAACAACTAAAAGAAAAAAAAGATGGAGACTTCGAAGAAGAGGTTTTTAGAAAGAGAAAAGAAGTTTTTTTAAGAGAGAGAAAGAGAGATCCTAGATAAGAAATCTTTCCACAAAAAAAAAAAAAAAAGACCTACTTCTGAGATCTGTGTGTGTACTTTAGAACCTGAAGGAGATATAAACCTACTTGGATGTTTGATGAAAAAATAATAATAATCCTATGTACTTTCATAAATCAAATACAACCCAGAAACAAGAAAAGAGAAGAAGAGAAGGAAAAGAGAAGGAAAAGAGAAGAGAAGAGAAGAGAAGAATACCTTCGAATCGAGGCTTTGATTGCTGCTCAACGACACTGTCACCAATCGCCAATCGTTGCTTGCTACCACTGTTGCCGATCGTTGCTCGTCGCCGTTCAAGTGAGAGAGAGAGAGAGAGAGTCATTGAAGGAAGAACTAGGGTTACGAAAACATGAAATGAAAAAATGAAGGCGAGATAGAGGGAAAAATGGCTAGGGTTACAAAAACATGAAATGAAAAAATGAGGGCGAGACAAAGGGAAAAAGGGAAAAAAATAGAATCGACGGGCAGCAGGCAGGTGGGTCGGGCATGCGGATGGAAGTGGTGGGTTACCCGCGATGGATCCTCGAAATCAAAATATATGGGCTCGTATCCGCCCACCACGTGTCACACATCCACCCAAAACAACACGGGTCGGTCGGGTTTGGCAGGTCGGAGCATCCGCTGCACAACCCTAGCTCTTAGGTACTGTTTTGTTCACCAGAGTACAATGGAATGAAATGATCATTTTATTAAAATATTTATTTTCATGTTTTGTTGAATTCTAAAAAATCAATGACAAAATGAATTACAAATGGAATCATCATTTATCATTTCAAGGGAATGATCATTCCATTTGAGAGTCTAAGGAATGACCATTTCATTCAATTCCATCTCATTCCAGTGAACCAAATAGAGCATTAGCGATAAAGTCAAGGTCAAGGTCAAGGTCAAACTCAAGCAAGTCAACTCAGGCCAGAAGTTTAGGCTTGGGCCGGGCTTGGATAATTCTTTTTACCCTTCGAACTGAGCTTGGTTGTAGCCTTATTGAAGGGCCATGATGGGTTGTGGTAGTGTCAACTAGTGGTGGTGATGGTCAATTAGGTGATATATAGAGAGAGAGAGTGAAGGGGGAGGGGGAGAAAGGTGATGATGGTGGCCCAACGATGAAAGAAAAGATGAGGTGATACTGGAGAGAGTTGTGGTGAGGTAGTGAGAGGGCATGATGGAATGTTGAGATTAGTTGAGGATAGAGAACTTGGTTTGGGTGCTAGATAAAGGAAATGAGGGCAGTATACCAAATTTCTTTTGGTATAAGAGGGTAATTAAGTAATTTTCTTTTTTTATTAAGGGTTGGTTTGGGATGTTCTAAAAAAGTACACTTTTTGACTTATTGGCTTATATGGATTGGGTTTGGGTTGGGTTTGATGTGATGTGTTAGAGGGGTGATGTGATTTAAATAAGATGATGTGACTTAAATAGGATAATGACTTTTTGACTTGTTGTATTATTTAGGTCATGCCAAACTTGGCCTAAGTTCATTAGAAGATAAATCTTGAAATATTTATAATTTCTCAAATTAAAGAAAAACGTGTATCCTTAATAAACCTCAATAAGGATGTCCATAAATTGTCCTACACTATAAAACAAGAACAATGACCTAAGAAAAGGAAAAAGAAAACACAAACACGCCCCATAAAATTGACAATTCATACCGTTGGATTTAAACCAAGGGTGTCTAGCACAATAAATAAATGAACAAGTTTATAGAAAATTGACTTTGTGATGAAAGGAACGATTAAAAAAATTACAATAATAAATAATTTGATAAATTTATATTTAAATTAGGAGTTGTTTGGGATGCCCTAAATAAGTGTATTTTTTATCTTTTTTGGACTAAAAAATTGAGAAAAAAATATGGATGTTTAAGTTAATTTTTTAACTTTTTATGAAAAAATATGTATTAAAATATTATATAATTAAGTGTATAGGAGAAGACAATTAATTAATCCGTACGGTTGGGCAGTGGGTCGGCTGAAAAAGATATGGGAAAATATTGCCTACTTTTTGGCCTTTGATTGGACGGTGTTGTTCCGCCTATGGGGGCCCACCATGGGTCTCGTTTTTCTAATCAGAACTGTTTAATGTGTAGAAATCGTCGAGTACTATGTTCTTGTAAAAAAATCATGTTCATTGGATATCGATAACTATCTGATCGTGTTAGTTTTTTTGTCACATGTTAACTATAACACCATCTATTTTTTATACAAAACTGATTTGATCATGTAGTTAGCGATATCAGATAGAAGTGATTTTTTACAAGCATATAGTACTCGACGAGTTCTACACATTCAACGGTTCCGATTAGAACAATAGAACCCGTGGTGGGTTCGTTTACCATCCAATTTAAGAATATACACATGTAATATATTTTTTTTTCCTTTCACTCCTATGCTTTGATGTCTGTACATAGGCTGCCGTGCGTCGGCTGATTTGTATTTAACATTATATATATTAATTTTTTTATATTTTTTTTGTGAATAGTGATAATTTTTTGACTTTTTGAGTAATTTTTTAATTTTTTTGTCTTTTTTTGAGAGTTGCCAAACTTGGCCTAAAAAATCTATTAAAATAAATTATTATTGCTTTTAAAAAATTATTATCATTTTTATTTTATTTTATTTTTGGTAAAAGACTTGTGTCTGCAAATCATTTTTTTTTTTTTAAAAAAGAAGGAATTTTATGGGAATTATGTAATGTGTTTGGGATTTGGTGTGCAGCTGTGTTAAATTACGAGGAAGATGTGGCGGCGTACACAATAAAAGCATCCACAGATCCAAGGGCTTGCAATCGAGTCATTTTCTATAGGCCCCACCTTAACATTGTCTCTCAATTGGATTTGCTCTCGTCTTGGGAAAAAAAAACTGGACGTTCTTTCAAAAGGACCTATGTATCAGAGGAATCTATAGTCAAACTTTCCGAAAGTAAGTGCTCTATTTGATAACTTTATTTATTTATTTATTTTTAAATTACAAGTATATTCGGTAAGATTGGTTTAAAATATAAATTGTTTTATATAGTTTAAGAAATTATATCATGCTCTTAGAAATTTTTAATTTCATAACATATATTTTTCGCTACACTATTGATTTGAACTATTACATAAATAATACCACATAGTATTCTCAAAGTTTAAAATAACTACTTGTGGTAAACAATATAATAAATCCTTATCCAAAGAACATATTAAGAAAAAAAAAATTAAAAACTGAAGGGGGGGCGCGTGACTCCCCTGGCCTTATGCTACCTCCACTCCTGGTTTAAGCAAATTTCATATGGTGTATTTGTAATTTCATTATTTTTTATATTTTTATGAAGTGAAAAAGGATTGATTAACATGTGACGTGATATTTTTATTTTATTTTATTTTTATTTTTTTATCTGAAAGGTTCTCTGCCAAAACAGAGCCCAAGTCTAATTAATTTGGAAAGGCTAACAAGAGTTCTTGAGATATTGTTAATATTAAAAATGTAAAAATATTTTAAAATTAGTAAGAAAGTGTCTTGTGGCTTTTATTATCATTATTATTTTGTTATGCTTCAAGAATGTTGGTCAGCAAGATCCTAATACATTTTATAAGCTTCACCAAAAATTACACAAAGTTAAACGCAAATAATTTTATTAAATATATAATCTCATACCATAAGTTATGGTACTTAAAAAATGAGGTCCATAGTATTATTTATTTTCCCTATCCCTACGGGTGAAGATTGCGAGGCCGGCCGGCCGGGCCGGGCCGAGCCGAGATTGCTCAATTAATAATAGATTTTGTGTTTGTCAAAAAATCTCAGTCTAACTATCAAGCCTATATAGTCAATCAAAACCCAGCCTTACTACAAAATATAATTCTCAAACTCGTCCATCAAGTCTCTATATGTATATGGGTTGTTTTTAAAAAAAATACAAACAAACTAGTTTCTAAACAAATGATTAGGACTAAACAACATATTGGACAACAAAATAAATAATACACATCGCAATCAGTTCATTGAAATGTTTTTAGCAACTCTTAGAAATGATTATGAATTTCAAGTAAATAAAATCTGCAGTAAGTGGTTTGTATATTTTCTAATGTATAATATAAATAAATAATAAAATAAAATAAATATACTAGCAGGCTGAGTTATAGATGTGAATTCCAAGTCTAACCCATTAATTTAATAGATTTAAAATATTGGTCTAACCTGATTTTACGAGTTAAAAATACTATTTTCAAATCTTAAAAAAATAAGATTGAGATGGATAGACTGGCAATACAACTTGTCGATGCCCACCCAATGGGAAATTCTATTTGCACCCAAAAAGTAACTTAGTACGCTCAACTAAAATTTTAAAATTTTAATTACTAGTATGCTCTAATGTAAATTTACTAATAAGGATAACACATATTAAACTTTAAAATAAAATATTATTTTTTTCATGATACATCCTAATCACTAATAGTGTACTTCATTTTCTTTATCAAGTTCAACTTATTTTCTCTTATTCTTCTTCTTCACTTCAAAACTCCAATTCACTTCACAAAAACTCACCATTATCATCAACTTCATTATTTCTTATTGTATTGTTACTTTCAAATAGGAAAAAAATTGAACAAAATCAAATAATGGATGAGAATAATAATCAATTTTTTTTTTGAAGCAACCTATCAAAGAGAAGGTAAGTATTCACATAAATATCAAAGTACAATTATTGATTTATGTGTTTTTTTTTATGTAAAAATGAATATTCAGTCTGTTTTATGTCAATGTTGTTCAGGCTTTCAGATCCAAACAAATTCACTTTGTTCGAATCTAAAAGTGTGAACAAAACAATCTTGTTCGACGCTAGACAGCCAAACAAGCTGACTATGTTCGGTTTTGTAACTCCGAAAATGGTGACTTTATTATTTGGGTGTACTATAAAATTAAAATATTATATTATTTAAGGATAATTTATGAAAAAATATAGAACGTATTAAGACTAAATTATATATTTAAATAATTTAATAGAGAGTACTAATAAATTAGACATACTAATTCATTTTTTTAGTGTAAATAAAATTCCCCCAACCCTACTATCCCCTAATTCTATCCCTCAAACAAGCATCTTAATGGACTATAATAAGGTAGTCTATAATAATTATATTGTTTAGACAAAAGGGGTTGTTTCATAGTATATAAACCTATTTCTGTTACTATTTCACAGCCCATGTTGTGTATTCAACTACAAGTTACTGTTTGAAAGCCCAAAATGTCACAAAAGCCCAACACATTCTTTTACTGTTTAAATGATATTGATATTAGGGATCAAAGTGTAACAGATCACATGTTTTGTATATTATTACATATTTTGTATACTATTAGTATAATAAACCTTTTTTTATTTAAATTTTCATTTCATTAAACTGTCATTAGCACAATCTTTATTATTAGGATAAATTATATCGATAGTCCCTATATTTAGTCATTGTAATTTTATTTGACTCGGTTTTAACCTTGAATTTGTAACTCTCGTCTTAATTTGGTTTAATTGAATAAAATCATTAACTTTTTTTTTTTTGTGAAAATACACAAATGAATGACATATGTCATATTTTTACAAGCAAAATTATAAATTTGATCAAGTCAGTGATTATTTTAACAATTATCAATTGGACTAAAATCAACACAAAATATAAAATGAAATATCAAAATTCAGCCAATTATTACTATAAGAATCAAAATGACACAAAAGATAATATATAAGGACTAGCAGTGTAATTTACCTTATTACTACTGATTTTTATTATTACTATAAGGATCAAAATGACACAAAAGATAATATATAAGGACTAGCAGTGTAATTTACCTTATTACTACTGATTTTTATTATTACTATAAGGATCAAAATGACACAAAAGATAATATATAAGGACTAGCAGTGTAATTTACCTTATTACTACTGATTTTTATTATTACTATAAGGATCAAAATGACACAAAAGATAATATATAAGGACTAGCAGTGTAATTTACCTTATTACTACTGATTTTTATTATTACTATAAGGATCAAAATGACACAAAAGATAATATATAAGGACTAGCAGTGTAATTTATCTATCCAGACTACAAATATACTTCTGTGGATGATCTTCTTGACATTTGTTTGGTTAACCCTCCCAAACCCAAACTCGCTGCATTTTCCTAATCAACACCGTACTGCAGATATATATTCAATAAGAAGTTCGATGACAAACATAATGTGATATAAAAATATCATAAGTGTAGCATCGTTGCTACTATTTTCCCCATAAATGTTGTGTATTAGTCGCTTTCATCAATTATCCAAATGTATGGAATAAGGTTTAATTATTATAGTGATGAGCACTCTTTGTAGGCAATATATAAAGGGTAGATTTTTTTCTTCTTCTTTTGCTGAACTTAGATTATTATCCAATGTGCCGGTTTATTGTTATTTATCTTTAGCGATTTTTTTTACTTTTTAAATCCCTAAAATAAATTATGGTTTAAGAAAAAAAATTAGAGATAAAATACTTTTATTGTAAAAAAATATCATTATTATATTTTTAGGGACAAAATTAGACATTTAATGATGAATCATTATCTTTTTTGACCAAATTTTTTTGTTCAGCATTTATTAGCGACATTTTAAAAATTAATTGCTAAAAGCCTTTTTTTTTTTATAATAACTTGTTAGGACGACCTTTTAGCAATTATCATTGCGACAAAATAATTGCTCTCCAAATATTTATTCAATCAAAATTTTCACTTTTGAAGATAAAAATTTGGTTTTTAAAACCCTTATATATTGTAGTTGGTGCATCTAAATGATGTACAACTAAAATCTAAAAATAAAATAAAAAATTTATTAAAATATTAAAAAAATTCACTAGAGAAAAAAAAAAGAGTGTATTTATTTATAAATTCTTCTTCACTTACTTATGTTTCACCTAGTCTAAATTATTTTTTTATATTTCAATAAGTCCTATAGGTGACATAGTTACAAAAATAACCATAACAATAATATTCACATTAATAGTGCGAATGTTCCATATTTATAACACCAAATTGCTAAGCATTCAAAAAATATTTGTAAGAATAAAATTGTTCATAAAATATTTTAAATATGAGAATTAGAATTTAGTGAATCAAATGTCCAAATAATAGGATTTATTAGAATACAAGAATATGTTATGGACTAATTGGGATATAAGTACTAGAAAAAAGATTTCCTAATAAATCCCTCTAAAAAAAGGGGCATTTATTTATAAATATCTCTTTACCTACTTATATTTTACTTATTCTAAATTATTTGGGTAAATTACATCGACACCCCCTGAGATTTCTGTTCAATACAAATTCCCCATTAGGTTTGAAAAATTACACTTACCACCTACCAAATTGAAATGTCACATTTGCCTCTTAGCCTTTATACGTATAAAATAATAAAACAATACTGATATTTTGTTCATATCATTTCAAGATAAATAACAATTACCTTCTTTGGTTTAAGTCATACAAAAAATTGATTTTTTTTTTAATTTTTCATGTTTATTTTTAATGAATTTTTAGTATTTTAATCATTTTTTAATTTTTATTTTCTTGATACATCTAATTTAGATGTACTTAAGAAGTATAATAATTTGTATTTTTTTTAAATTCACCAAATACAAAAAAAAAATATAAAAATACAAAAATTCAGTAATACTATAATAAATGTGAATGACGGTGTTTAGTAATACTGTAATAAATGTAGGTGAATAGACAAGAAAGAAAAATGATGGTAGAAATAAATAAAAAAAATTATATTCATATATATAATTTATACAAAAAATATCATAAAAATGTTGTGATAGTGATATTGTTGTAAATAAAATCATGTTTATGAGTGTTTTGTTTTAAAGTGAAAGGTCACCATTAGACTATATCATTGTGTTTGAAAATTTTATATAAAATTTATATTTTTATATTATCACTCAATAAGAATATGTTCAGATAGAGTTTAATGATGAAAAGTTATAAAATGTAGTCATGATGATAAAAAGAAGAAATTGTAGGAAAAATGGCAAAATGGTGATTTAAAAAATTTTAGGGGCATTACATTAGCAATCTATGGAGTAATTTGTAATGAGATTACAAACCTCAGGGAGGGAAATGTAATTTTTCAAACGTGAAGGGGGAATCTGTATTAAATAGAAACTTTAAGAGCTGTTAGTGTAATTTACCTAAATTATTTTCTTATATTCTAACAAATTTTATGGGTGACATAGTTATCAAAATATCCCTAATAATAATAAGATGAAGAATTATTAATGTTTACATTGATAGTGTGAATGTTTCATGATGTGAATATTCACACTGTCAAATTTATTTAGAGCCGTGCTTGGGACCCCCAGTGGGGGTCGCACCCCCAGTGACGTGGCAGCATGGGGTTGGCGGAAAACATAAAAAAAAAAAAATAGTTTTTTTTTTGGACCAATAAGAGGCGACCCCCAGTACCCCCACTGGGGGTCCGAAGCTTTTTCCATTTATAAATATAATAAAAATCCATTCCAACACCAATATTGGAAACCTAAATTCTGTAAATGCAACAAGCACATTTTCATCCATCACATTCAAAACAATATTATCATTGAAAAATAACTCATCACCACAAATTTCAAGAAATAATAAAATCGTCATAACATTGTCTTAATAAAGTACCAAAACACAATCTGTCACTATGTTCAAAAAAATAAAAATAAAAACAAAAACTTAAAGTCATAATGTCGGTATGTACAAGCCAATAACACATTCAAATTCCTTTTTCTGCACCCACAAACTTCCAAGCTGACTTCTATTGGTTCCATCTTCTTTCCAAACCTAATAACTGTAAAACAATAATCAACACGTCACAATAAGTATAATCAGTTTAACAATACTGTATATCATTAAAAAGGAAAAATAAAAATAAAATTATATCAAAACAAAAGCAAAAAAGCAACAAAGCACTCCTCTGCTGGAGCAAAGGCAGAGCACCATGACTACTTCTTCAACACAGCAGACAAAAATTGTTAACAAAATGTTATCCTTTGATTTGCTGGATCAAAATAAAATTACAAATTGTTAACAAAATACCAAAGCTACTAAAACCCACTTCTTCAACACAGCATACCAGAATCAGCCAATAGCATACACCAGCATATAACAGATCAACAACACAGCATACACCAGCAGAAATACACCCAAGCTGGTGATCTCTTCCAGATTCAGAATATGTTGACCTGCAAGCTGCTACTTTGTAAGCTGATCTGCATGCTGGTAATTTGTTTGCTGATTTGGAAGCTAATCTGCATGCTGCTAATTTGTTTTGGGAGTGGTGGTTGCTGGTCTGCTTTATGGTTTTGGAGGTCTTTTGCTGTATGAGGTTTTAGGAAAATGAGTGTGGCTGGTTTGGTGGCTGGTTTGCTATCT